GTTCTCAAGGGACATTCACATAATAACATTTCACGTGGGACCTTTGTACACCTGCTCTGGACCGTGGGACACCTGCTCTGGACCGTGGGACACCTGTTCTCCTAACTAGCCCGTGAGACATCTTGGACACTGATGAGATAAATCCAGACCTTAAGAGATACTTCAGAGACACATAGACGTGAGGGACACATGAATAATACAATAATCTTTCAGGACACGTAGGATATATTTTGTAATATAAGATGACGTAGGATGCTGTAGGATAGGGTAGAATGCTGAAGGATGTTACTCACACAGGTAATTCAATTAACCCCGACCACTTAATGGGATTTCCCCGAACCACCGCGTCAACAACACTCCTCAACAGCTGAGCCATACCCCGCTAAGACCTTAATTAACCTCTAACTAATTATCTAACCCCTTAATTATACATATTACCCTATTTTAATGAATGGTATTTAATTATATATAACCCAAGAGCCGTATAGTTGTAAAGGTTATCGGGGTTTGTTGATGGAGGCGTGTCTATAACGGGTTAGATGTACGAGTGACGTCAGGTGGGTTATGACGTCATATACTACGCCGCGCTGCTATTGGTTAAGAGAATAGGTGAGTTACTGTGTTTTCCCGACCATATGTTATAACACCTGTCACCTGTTGCCCTAAGGTGATTACCCCCACTTGTGCTGTTTATATACGATTTATGACTAGTAGTAAATGTTGTAATAATAATAATAATAATAATAATAGTAATAATAATAATAATAATAATAATAATAATAATAATAATAATAATAATAATAATAATAGTAAATAATGTACAGGTAAGCTCAGGCATTAACTGCTATAATCCCAACTACTCCTAACGTTATGGGAGACACAATATGGAGTAGGTGGGGTGGGGCAGGGCTGGGTGGGGTGGGGCAAGGCTGGGTGGGGCACTGGAGCAGGGGGTGGGGCAGGGCGGGTGGGGCACGGCGGGGGCAGGGCTGGGCGGGTGGGAGTAGGGCGGGGTGGAGCAGGGCGAGGGAGCAGGGCGGGGTGGGGCAGGGCGGTGGGCAGGGCGGGTGGGGCAGGGCGGGTGGGGCAGGGCGGTTGGGGGCGGGGTGGGGCAGGGCGGGTTGGGGCAAGGCGGGGCGGGGCAGGGCGGGGTGGAGTAGGGCGGGGTGGGGCAAGGCGGGTGGGGCAAGGCGGGCGGTGGGCAGGGCGAGGGAGCAGGGCGGGGTGGGGCAGGGGGGTAGGGGCAGGGCAGGGTGGGGCAGGGGGTGGGGCAGGGCGGGGTGGGGCAGGGCGGCTTGGGGCAGGGCGGGGGGCAGGGCGGGCTGGGGCAGGGGCTGGGGCAGGGCGGGTGGGGCAGGGCGGGTTGGGGCAAGGCGGGGCGGGGCAGGGCGGGTGGGGCAGGGCGGGTTGGGGCAGGGCGGGGTGGGGCAGGGCGGGGTGGGGCAGGGCTGGGGCAGGGCGGGTTGGGGCAGGGCGGGGTGGGCAGGGCGGGTTGGGGCAAGGCGGGGCAGGGCGGGTAGGGCGGTGGGGCAAGGCTGGGCGGGGTGGAGCAGGGCGAGGTGGAGCAGGGCGGGTGGGGCAGGGCGGTGGGGCAGGGCAGGGTAAGGGCAAGGTGGGGTGGGCTGGGGTGGAGTAGGGCGGGGTGAGCAGGGCGGGGTGGGGGCAGGGCGGGTTGGGGCAGGGCGGTGGGGCAGGGAGGTTGGGGCAAGGCGGGGTGGGCAGGGCGGGGTGGGAGTAGGCGGTGGGGCGGGCGGGCAGGGCGGGGTGGGGGGCAGGGTGGGGTGGGGTAGGGCGGGTGGGGCACGGCGGGTGGGGCACGGCGGGGTGGGGCAAGGTGGGGTGTGGGGCAGGGCGGGGTGGGAGACATGGGGTGGGGCAGGCCGGGGGTGGGGCAGGGTGGGGCGGGGTGGGGCAAGGCGGGGTGGGCACGGCGGGGTGGGGCAAGGTGGGTGTGGGCAAGGGATGGGGCAAGGCGGGGCGGGGTGGAGCAGGGCGCGGGGTGGGGCAGGGCGGGGTGGAGCAAGGCAGGGGTAGGGCGGGTTGGGGTAGGGCGGGGTGGGGTAGGGCGGGGTGGGGCAGAGGCGGAATGGGGCGCAACAGGTGACCTCCCCTCCCAAGTAACAGGTTGATCTCCCCTCATCTCACTTCCTCTCTTCTCCCCCTCTCTCCACCACTACCACTCAGAGTCCACCCAGCGCTTCCTTGGCTGTGAGGTGGTGGTGGTGGTGGGGAAATGAAGGGGTTGGGGGGGAGGTAAGGGGAGGAGAGGTTGGGGAGGAAGGGGAGAGAAGAGAGCAGATATTAATAATGGTAGAGACATTAAACCATTTGACCTACTATTGTGGACAGTAATTGACCCTCTTAGTGCCTCACAAGGGTCTAAAGCCTTTATAAACCTTGATTGATGTCTTGGAGGTGGAAATACCGATTGATGCGTTGGGCCTTTGATGTTGGTGAGGTTAAATGACTTATTGATGGTGCGTGCGTGCGTGCGTGCGTG